TTTATTAATTTGTGTAGAAAAGTTAAAACTATGTCTGAAAAAAGATTTATGCTATGTGTTTAACTTATTAAGTAATATGGAGGAAATTATAACACTAAAATAATATAAATTAATATTTGAATACAAAATGTATCTTGCCCTACCCAAAGTATTTATAATGGGTTGAAATCAAATTTGGATAAACCAATAATGATTTATTTATTCACATTACCATGCACAGGGGTTATACTGAATTTCTCAGTTGATCATTATTCTTTTATTCACTCACTTAACATTTAATGAATGCCTACTTTGGGCCAGGCACCATGCATGACCCTAGTGCTTTAGAAATGATTATTTCCTGCTTTTGGGAAATTCACAGTTCAGGTCTTCACTGCATTTGGAAGTGAAGTTTTACTAGTTAAGTAAAAACATTAATCACTCGGAAATACAAATTATTCTTCATACGAATAGCCCAGCAACACTGGATTTCAACATATGAACTTTGAAGTTGGCAAATTCCACCAACACAACAAAAAACAAACTCATCACACTAAACACTAGCCTATTTAACGTTCTCTTCCTTTTCCCCAGCTCCCCTCTTGGCCAACAAGTCCTGACATTGTGGTTCACCTTTTCAGTTCCTTTATCTGTGTCAGCTAAGACGACTATGCTCAGGCCTCATTTCTGTCTTTGTGCATTCCTGTGTCCTCACTTCAATTCGGGAGCATTCCGTTCCTCCAGACTCAGACTGCCCATGCTCCCTACTCTGCTGCAGAACTCCAATTCTGTACGAGTGAATCCTCTCACACCCTCTTCCTTTCTGCTGCATTCCACATCTGTTCAGCTGGAAGCCTGGCTGCCTTTACTGTTCTTGAAACTCCTCATTTAAGCAGGCCACTGTGATTCTTTACTAAGAACACAGACGACATTAGCTACTAGGTCTTCTCAAGTCTTATCAGAGAACTTCTCTGTGTCTTTACCAATCCTCTTCTTTCTTCCCCCCTTGGTGAAGGTCATCCCTCCTGTCGCTCATTCACTGACTATATCCCAGGTGATCACCTACCATGTGCCGGGTTTTCTAGGCATGGTGGTGTAGAAATGAACAAATAGACAAGGTCCTCTTAATAGAGCTTATTTTCTAGTGGATGGGAGGAAATAGAAAATAAACAGACATGATTTCAGGTAGTCAGATGAGCTATAAAGACAATAGGCCAAAGTAAGTTGGTATTCATATGCCAGGCTTTAGGTAAAGAAGTCAGGGAAGGATGCTCTGAGGAGTGTGGAATGATGAGAAGGAGGCTGACCATATAGGAAAACCATGCAAAGAACATTCTGGGCAGAGGGTGACAGCTGTATAGTCCTGGAGGCAGGAGAGGGCATGGCACGTTCCAGGCACAGACCAACATCTCCTGTGCCTGGACCCTTGTAGCCAAGGGGCAAGGCAGGGATTCCACTCACACCCACACCTCTCAGATCACAAGCCAGCAATTATCCACGACTCTTCACATCATTAAGCTGCTCCTGTCCTTTAGTCCCTTCTCATGTCTTCAAAATGCTCAGGACATGTTCAGCCTAAAAATATACTCTCCTTAACTCCTGCTGCTCTTTGGAACTACACCTTCCTTTTAACGTCACATTTTCCAGAACAACAGAGTGTTCCTTCATCCCCACTTCCTCATTTATCTTTTGCAACCGTATTTCTGTGCATACTATCATTTTCAGTGCACTGTCCAAGATCATCAATGACTTCTCTGTTTCAAATCCAGTGACCTTTCCTCAACCCTCATCCTTCCTGATTTCTGTCACATTCTTGACAATCCTCCTTTCCAAATATTCTTTTCCTTTATTTCCATGAAAATTCATTCTTCTCATATTCCTTCTACGTTGATGACCCTTATGTGACTGTTTCCTCGCCAACCTCTCAAATGGAGTTGTTCCCTTAAGTTCTTCTTTCATAGCTGTTTATTCATTCTCCCTCTCCCTCTCTTCCCTCTCCCTCCCTTCCTCCCTCTCTTCTCTTTCTCTCTCTCTCCCTCTCTCCCCTTCTACTCTCTTCAACAGGCTCACTCACTCCCAAGGCCACAGGCCAGGCCCTCTCTGTGGGTGACTCCTATAGCTGCTTTTCTCCAGTCCTGTCTTCTCTTAGGATATCTAGAAACATTCTTTCAACAGCAAGTGAAAGTATAGTGTGGCACTTCAAACTCAACATGTTCTTAACTGAATTCATCATCTTTCTCCCCAAACCAGAAACTTCTATGTTCCCAATTAAGGGTTGAATTTATACCTAACAGGTCTAATCAACGCCATCTCTGTGATGCTTCTGCAATGTCTTCTCTGTCTCACTGTCACCATGACACCTCTAGTGGCTCTCATGTACCTCTACTGGGCCCTCAAGAAGCGGTAGCTTGGACTATCCAGTCCCTGTCCACTCCTTCTACTGCTACCACACCTTGTCAACACTGATAGAATCATGTTCCTAATAATCACTTGAATCTTGATACTTTATTTCTCAAAAAATTCAGTAGCTCCTCAGTATTTACCCAACAAAGCCAAAATACTTATCGCAGCTTTGGAGACTTTCAGTGATCCCCGAGCTATCTTTTAGCCCGATCACTAACCACTCCCCTTGATTAAGCTATTTGCCATGTACGTAGTTTTGTTTGCTCTTATTTTGTTATCCCTTTGACTCAGAATGCCATCTTCCATATCTACTGGTCAAAATCCTACATATTATTTATGTCTAGTTCAAATGACATCTCTTCTAGTTAATTTTTCCTGATTTCCTCATCAAAAAATAATTTTTCCCAAATTCACACTCTATCCTGCATTATAGTTATCTGTGGATGTGTGCATATGTGTATGTCCTGCTGTCACTACTACTTCATCTTTTTGAGGACAGTGACCTTCTTTTTTCTTTGCATCCACACAGTACCTGGGATGTGCCTTTTCAAGATACAAAAAATCTACCAGAAATGTTTGTCAAATGAATTCCAATGGTTTCTAATACTAACTTTTTAATTACCTTTAACCTGTCAGTTCAGTTAGTAACACATATAAATCTACACTTGACAAACTTCATCTCCTATTAAAAAGAAATATTTGTAAAGTATATATATAATGCAAGATAATTAAAGCCTGAATTGGATGTTTTATAAGTCTGGCTTTAGTAAGCCCAATTTTCTTAAATCAAGATACACCAGTATCTGTGTGATTTAAGAATATTTATTTAGAAATACCTTGAACTGTTAGCAGAGTTGATTGAAGCCAAAGTGAGGTGTGCTCCTAAGAGTTCTTTCCCTCTCCATCAGTCTCTCTTTTATCTGCTGTTTTCAAAGGTCTAAGATTCTTCTGTATAAGGCAATTTCCCTAATTCCTAAAACTTTATATATTTTAGCATCAAAACATTATTATTTTATACTGCTGTGAAAGAATTATCATTAACATCCCACTTAGATGTATAAAAGGCATCTCAATCTGAACATGTCCTGAATGGCCCAACCTATTGCTCTCATAATTCTTCCCTTCAGCTAAGAGAAACTCCATTTGTCCACTGGCTTGGGCAAGTAACCTTGGTGTCACTCTCGACAGCTCCCCTATGCCCTGCCCTCCATGCCCCGTGTACGAATCAACAGCAAATCCTGTCAGCTCTACCTTTGGAGCATATCCCAAATCTGATCAGCTTTTACCACCTTTACTGCTATTACCTAGACACCTCTTGTCTAAATTATTGCAATAGCCTTTTAACTGGTCTCTCTACTTTCTCCTTTGCCCTCAATTCAGTCTCCTCTCAGCACGGCAGTTGGAGAGATCCTACTCAAGTGTGAGTCAGATCATGTCACTCCTCTGCTCAAAACCTGCCAAGCCTCCTCTACCCACGGAGAGTCAAAGCAAAGCCCTTTCACTGCCTACTCAGACCTCCCTGACCTGGGCCCATGCCCTGAGGTTTCTTCTCTGGCCTTATCACCTTCCCCTCTTCTCCTCTGTCAACATTCCCAGCCATACCAGTCTCCCTGCTGTTTGTCCAAGAAGCCAGGTGAATTCTTTAGAGCCCTTTGCCTATTTTTTTCTGAGTTGAGAGCTCAGGGCCAAGGGCAAAGGCAAGGGCAAAGTCTGCTGAAATCTGACTTTCAAATGAATTAAGGTACTATAAAGAAAGCACATTAGGATCATAGTCTGTGTGAAATCAATGAAGTAATACCTAGTATGGTAATGTATACTCTTTGAAGGCACATTATTTGAAGATGGAGAAGAGGTAGAAAAAATTAAATAGAATTAGGTGATTCTTAAATTACCCTTTTCAAGTTTCTTATTCTCAAGATACAGATTGGTCTTAAGAAACTCAAGGGGCAATTTTACAAACAGTAATTCACATTTAGTACCTGAATAAAATATTTATACTTTTTTAGAACATCAAAAAAAAAAAATACTTAAGATTGTGCCTTGAATGTAAGCCAACCCAAAATATGTAAACATTTATTGACATTTATTTTAATAATGTGTGATTATAAAGAGACTTTTCTTATTTCTACTGAAATATTAACCTGGAAAATAAATTGTCATTTTTGCTACACTGTTATAAAAAACTGTAAAATATAGAAATGATTATAAGGCAACCTAGGAAAAATCTGAAACTTAAGTATAAACCTAGAAAAATTTAGCCCAAGTATTTCTAATAAATATAATATTTGACAATATTATAATATTGTTTTATCACAATATGTGTTTAATTACTATGGAATAGAATATTCCATATAATCTCTTCCATGAAAGTCAATGGAAAAGTTAGGAAATTCCTTAAATTATTTTATAGGGATATATCATAAGTCAACACAATAAATCCTAGTAGATATGGTGCCTAGACATAGAACAAGATACTTAAATTGCTCATTTGAAGATTTATAAATAAAAAGAGTAATTCCATGTCTATTACCTTTCAGAGATTAAATATAAGGGTGGTGGCCTAGCATTTTAGATATGGGTTTCAACTGCCTATTAAAAAATACAGTCAGATGTCTTACCTTTTCCAATGTCATCTCTGTCTCAGCAGCATGGGTCTTTTTCAACTCTATTTTCATCTTTTCTGATTCAGCCTTCAGTTTGTTGACAGCAGTCTCATGGTCCCGTGCCGCCCTTTGCTTTTCCTCTTCACGAAGAAGACCAAGCTCTACCAGCTGCTGTTTCCGCTGTGAATTCACACTAATCAGCTCTTCTCTCAACTTGTGAACCTGGGTCTCCATGTCAGCAATAACCTTGTTTTTAAAAATGGAAGAATGGGCAGAAGATATGAATAGGAAAGTCACAAAAGAAGAACTGCAAAAAATCAATAAACAAAATCCAAAAATATGAAATACAAAAAGTTCACTTCTTCCTTCCTTCCTTCCTTTCTTCCTTCCTTCCTTCCTTCCTTTCTTCCTTCCTTCCTTCCTTCCTTTCTTCCTTCCTTCCTTTCTCCCTCCCTCCCTCGTTCCCTCCCTTCCCTCATTCCTCACTCACATGCCATTCCCTCACAGACAAGAGGTAAAATACCACCTGGAACATTTTACCATGTTATTTGTAGCCTAAAACAACATGCTGTTTAGTTTTACTTGTATCTAATATCTATGTAAATGGAATATTACATGTATTCTTCTGAAACTTGCTTTTCATATATTCGATATCATCACATTCCTGAAATTCATCCAGTGCTCCTTATTACATTTTTTTAGTTTCATTGGTTTTTGTTTTCATTTCCTTCCTTCTACTTTCTTCAGGTTTATTTTGTATTCCTTCTTCTTATCTTGGATACTTAACTCATTTATTTTTATCCTTTCTTCTTTTCTGATTAATAAACTTAAGACTATAAACATTTCTATAACTATTGCTTTAGTTCCATCTCTTAGGTTTAGATATATGGAATTTTCATTACCATTGAATTCAAAATATGTTTTTAAATATCCCCCATGATTTATTTTGTTGACTTATGAACCATTTAGAAATATGCTTCTTAATTCCCAAGCATATGGGATATATTAGTCTCCCAGGGATGCCATAATAAAGTACCACAAACTAGATGCCTTACAAGAACAGAATTTTATTTTTTCACAGTTCTGGAGGCTAGAAGTCTAAAATCAAGGAGTTGGCACAGTTGGTTCCTTCTGGAAGCTATGAAGGAGAATCTGTTCCATGCCTGTCTCCTAGCCGCTGATATTTGCTGGCAATCCGTGGTGTCCCTGGGTTTGTAGACACATCATTCCAATCTGTGACTCTGTCTTCACATGATTTGTTTTCTCTGGGTGTGTCTTTTGTCATGCTTCTCAATATGACACTGATCATATTGGATTTAGAGCCCACTGTAATCCACCACCAGCTAATTTTAACTTGATTACATCTGCAAAGACCCTATTTCCAAAAAATACCACTTTCACAGTTTCTGTGTGGATATGAAATTTGAGGGAGACACCACTCAACTAAGGACATGGAGTTTCATGATTATCTTTTTGTTATTCACTTCTAATTGCACTGTGGCCAAAGAATGTATTCTATCTTCCATTGATTCTTTGAAAATTGTTGAAACTGTTTGATGGCAAGTTTAAACAGTCATTTTTTTAAAAAAAAGCTTTATGTGTGATTGCTAAGAAATGTATATTCTGTATTTTCTGCAGTTGTTGAGTGCTATATTCTAGACATGCCCACTGGATCAAACTTCCTATGTTGTTAAAGTGTTCTATAACTTACTGTTTCTTTTTTACCTTAAGTTATTAAAGATACACATTAAGATCTCCCTCTATAACGGTAGATTTGTCTATTTATCTTTGTAGCTCATTAAATTTTCCTCTATATATTCTAAGGTTATAAGGTCAATCTTGTTAGTTGGCTTTTTGTTATCAAATAGTGATCCTTGTCCTCTTTTTCTGCAGTACTGATTTTGACTTAGAGTCACTGTTGTCTGAAAGTAACAGATTTTAGTAGCAGCTTTTTGGGGGGAGAGAGTATTTGCTTAATATATTTTTATGTATTCTTTTACTTTAATCCTTTCTGCATCCTCAATTTTAGATATGTATCTTGTAAATGACATATAGATTTTGAATTTTCTTTTTGTCTTTTAAATGGAACATTTAGTCCAATTAGCTTATATATGCTAACTTATTTGCCTTTATTTTTTTCTCTTATTTTATGCTATTTGACCTACCTTTTGTGCATTTCATTATTTTCCTCCTTTTTTATCTTCTTTTAGTCTAAAGAAATAAATTTTTTCCTCATTCAACTTTCTTTTCCTTCCCCATTTATAAGCCATACGCTGTATTTTCTTTTGGTGTTAACAGTAAAAGGGATCAACACCCACACTTCACTTATCAAATTTTAGAGTTATTTATTTTTTATATCATCCTGAACAATAAATGAAACTTAGGACATTTTAAGTTGTGTTGTCCTCTTCTAGATTTATCTGCTAGTTGTTATTTTCAATTTATTTTGTTTTTCTCAACTCAATATTGCAATTATTATTTTATTCCTTCACTAGCTCTTTGGATATACCCATGTATTAATATTTACCAATGTCTTGTCTTGTTTCACCACTCCTTCTCGCAACTCTAACCTCCCAACAACCACTTTCCTTTAGTCCCATCTGCATTCTTTAAGTTCTTTTAAAGAGGTTTAGTGGAAAGTAGTTTTAGTTATTACTGGTCTTAAAATATGTATATGGGTATTGATAAAAAGTCAGCTGCTATTCCTCTGAAGATAATTTATCTCTCTGGATGCTTTTAAGATCTTCTCTTTGTCTTTAGTGTTCATCACTTTATGATTTCTCTAAGTGTAAGCATGTTTTCCTTTATTCTGATCAGAACATGTTAGTCCTCTGAATCTGTCTTTGATGAGTATTGCAAAATTCTCAGTCAAAACTTGTCCATTTAATGTCTCTGTTCCTTCTCTCTCCACCCTTACAAAACTCACTTAGATGTATGTTGGATTTTCCATTCTTTCATTTCCCTTAACCTATATTTTTCATCTCCTTTAGTCTCTCCTACATGCTAGATGTTTTCTTCAGTGTCTAATCTTCTGTCAGATACATCTAAGTTCTTAATTTCAATTATTTTGTTTTTATTTTTAGAAACTTTATTCTTTTAAAAATGTTTGGTAATTTAAAAACTCTTTTGCTTTTACTATTTTAAATCCATTTAAAATTTAAGTATATATCATATATTAATATATGACTATTTTCTCTTCTATGGCTGATAATTTCAGTATCTGAAGTCCTTGCAGGTCTCATTCTGCTATTCTCAATTTCTGAAGGCTCTAGCTTCATGGTACTCTTTCTCATGTTGTTTTGTGTTGCTTTACTTTTTTAAGGTGAGCTCGTATTTCTTGCAACTTTATCTTCTGGGATTGAAAGTGGCTTTTCCAGTATCATGTCACTGACAGACCTGGAGATATCAGTATCTCTTAAAACTTTTAAGTTCTCAGCCTCAAGTTTTTCAGAATACTCTGATAGTATGAGTTCAGGCAGCAAATCCTCATGAAGACCATCTTATAGTTATGAATTTTCAGGGGCAACCCCCATTCAGTGCTAAGGTTTGAGATAGGTAATATTCCTGTTTCTAGTTCACTGGTTTCTGATTTACCCATACAATATGACATCACAATATGCTGGTGTCATAATAGATTCCCCACCTTAAACATGTCCCAGACTTTGTTTTTTTGTCCCCTGTACCCCATAAGAGCCAAAACGCAAACAAAACAAAATGGAGGTTCACGTTCACTCAGTTGAGGAAAGGTACTCAAGTTTAGAGCCTTGTTCAGTGCTCTGCTTACATCTCTAGAGTTTTGTTTCCCATTAGTTTTTGGTCCCGAGTATCCTAACTAAACAGCTCATAAACACACTAAAAATAAGTTATGTAAAAATTTTCTTATCTATCCTTTTTAGTTGTTTTCAGAGGGAAAGTTGATCAGAGAACACAGTGCCTTGCTACCAGGTGAACAGTTAGTTCAGGCTTAAGTGAACCTCTTATCACTACCAATGTATTAGCTATGAATGCAACATTTTCTAAAACACAATAGTAACTGCTTTATGTATGGTGGACTTTGAATGAACACTACACATTTCCCTAACTAGAAACCAGAAAGTCCAAGTGACAGTAATGCAAAAGTAACATTAGGATGCTGGGAATAGGAATACAAAGCCAGTGATGTGAAGCTACTATGATAATTAAAATGTCTATAAAATTATTTAATTTTAAACAAAAATATTTTACTCACTATTCAAAGTGTTAACAATTGTGCTGTTTCTACATGGTAAGTGATGATTGCTAGAATGTTGAGTATTTATTTTGCACCAGGCATCTTATATAGGTTATTTTATTTAATCTTTGCAACAACCCAGTATAATAAATACTATTAATATAAAAAGGTTTTCCTTTTTTTGGAATGTGGTTAGTACACGCTAGCTCCATCATTAACCCTGCTCCCTCCCTGCGCTAGACTGAAGAGACATTGCAGACAACTGGACAAAAACATTCTGGAGAAGAAAGAGCTCGATAATCACAAATCCAAGCCCGAGAGACATGAGGTGATCAGGTGTCCCACTTTTCTCGTGCCCCTCTAAAAAAGCTGACTTGAAATAGTCCCAGAGGAATGTGTAAGAGGACTTTATATAAAAAGCTAATTCTCACAAACCTGTAGTGGAAAAGATGAGTCTTTTTTTCCTCAGGAAATGTATGTATGTTTTAATGTTTGTTTTTCTATTTCATAGATATATTGATATCTGTATATCAATATATAGCTATAGATCAATTATCCTTCAAACCAAAGTCTCCTGCCTTTTGTTCCTTGTTTTATAATGATTCCTTTGAACTCAATACTTGGGAATAATAAGAGAAGAGATAGTCAATTTAATCAAATTCTGAAACAGAGTAGAAATCTTCTAAGAGCAGCTAGACTTCAGCAGTGACAACAGCATGTTTCTAGGGGGTAAAACATTCTTTTGAAAAAAGCTCTGTGTTATCAAGGTGGCAGATGAGGATGGGCTACTGACTCCTTTCCCCAAAATCAACCTTCAGAAACCACAGGAAGCATGAATCTGAGATATTAATGATGATAACAACAATAATAAAAATAACAAAACAAAGTCTGAAAGCTCCTGTGTAGAATAAAGGCAGCCTCGAACTGGAGAATACATGTGTATGGAAGGGAAGGGGTTGTAGCCTAGGGAAGAAAACAATAGAAAAGTACTATAAGAAGGTAGGCTGGAAGAATGCTTTACTTTTTGCTCTTGCCT